AAACTGATATGAAATGATTGTAAATATTAAATGACATATTTTTTATCTTATGAAACGCGTTCTGTATCAATCTCGTAGGAAACATTATACTTTTCTATTGAACTAAGCCGAGGACACGAGGATTGACGTGACGGATGAAAAAGCGAGCCGATAATTTCACACTTTTTTCACGAATCTTTTCAACCAACGTCCTTCGGTTTAAAGAAACATTAGTAAGGATTCGATTCAAGGATAAAATTCGAATAAAATTGTAGTGCACGCGTCGATTGTCGTACGCAAACGGGGCTTGTCGAAAAACAAGGGAAACCGCGTTCTCCATTCCTGTTGCAATTTTCACGTAACGCTTCGATAAGAATCAAATCGCTAATCAAATAACATACATTTTGCTTTAAATCATACAACCATTCAGAGATTATGCGCTGATAAATCAGCAATGCGTTATCCGTATGGAATTTGATTACAGAATTTCCATTAGGTACGAATAACTATATTATTGCGGTATGAATTATTTATTGACTTTGATATAAATTTTACATAAATTTATTTAAGTGCATCCATCGTATAATTACACGTTTAAATTAAATCTTACTAACTCCTGTGTAATTTTATTATCCAATTTAACTTAATGAATTTGATATACAATGCGTCTTACAAAATTTATTGTTTCCCTTTAATTAAATGATATTCGAAAGGAGATGAAAATATTCTCACGGACGATACAGTCGACGTTTCCTTCGCGCGACCCTGGAGGAAAACGCAATCGTGCTACTTACCGAGTGCATTGCATCCCAACGTATCGGCACATGCACGATGTGCATTATGGATTGCGACCGCAACAGGCTTGATACAGATGCCTGCTACCGATAACCGAGAGGTTACGTAAGTATTGTTAAAGGTACTAGTTTCACGAGCTGACAATGGGAAAATCAGATCTGTCGATTACGATCTGGGGTCAAATGCACGATTAAAAGAGCTTCGTTAAACCAGTCAAGCTCACACGGCCTGTCTATCAATTCAATCTGCAAGACTATTTGCCTACTCGTTCTTTTCGCAGGTTCTATCAAACGGACTATGATAAATATTATTAACGTAATGGGCTCACTATAATGTTATTACCTAATTTACAGAATTATATTTATTTTTTTTTTAAACATTAGTACAAAAGTGAAATATCGTTGAGAGAATTAAAGTCGAATCAAATATCGATTATGTTGAGAAACTGGCAATTGCGTCGCTGTTTCTCGATGCTGTTTGTATATAGACCAAAATTCACGCGTGCTCGAACGTAATTACACGCTGCGCTTTGATCTTTTAACGGACACCCTTTATTTGCCAAACGCCTAGAGGAAAAGAAATTTGTTTACTTTCGTGCCGAAATAAAATGATTTTCATTCCAGCATTCGCGCGATTGCGGATCTGATATTTTCTAATCGCGGGAATTGTGAAGGGCGACTGAAAGGGAAATCCCCTCCCTTCCGGTTGAACGATTCTACTTTTCCTATTCCTGGAAACTCCACCTGGAGACTGTTCGCCAAGACACTCGCGTACGATATCATTTTTTAATGTTCGCTACTTTTTCTGCCCAGAAGTTATTTCGGAGTAAAGCGTGGGCGGTAAACGTCGGTCGAGCTCGTTGGGCAACCGGCTCTAGGAAGTAGCGCCGGTATCCTTTGTTTAATAGGTGCTTTCTCAAGTGCTTTGTTACCGGTCAAACAAGTCGTTAGCGAACTTTTTCGTTTACACTTGAAAAAAAGCTTTTCTGTGACCCAGATCATAGCCTCCTTTATTAGAGAGCACGATTATTATATCTGGCTTCTACCGCGGTGCTAATAAAGAGAAAGCGTTTACCATAGAAAGCAACCACAAATTTTATTTTCAATATAGACTAGTTGAATCGATACGCAAAATTTCAGACTACTTTTAAT